GGCCATAGGTGAGAAGAATGAACGACTGAACAGGGGTGGGGTAGAAGGGAGGATAAAGGTTAGAGACACTTGGCATTAGACATTTATTTAGGAGTTAAGCCATTAGGGTTGGGGACTAGCTTGCCATTGGGGTTAAGGGAATGAGGCGTTTCTGTCCACTCAGACCCCCATCTGGTATGGTTGCACATGTGGCTGTGCTATTTCCTGAGAGGAAACATGGAGCCTGAGCAGCTTGAGGAGGAGCACTGCCTATTGGAGCAGGAAAGGCCTCCTTGCCAAGCACCTGCCATCCAGCCACTGACAAGATCTTGTGGGCCCTTCAGCTTCCAGGGCCAGAGTTACTTCAGTTCTCATACATGATGGCTCCCTCCATCTCTTTAGAAGCAGTAAGAATGCAGCTGACCGGGATATCCCCGTAGTGATGTGTTTTGTATTTCTGAGGCTGTAAAGTGTCAGCTATTGGAAGAGTAAGCACTGTTGAAAAGGCAGGAGGATTCTTAACATCTTTCACCATTCTCTGCCCTTGTAGATGATTCATGTATTTATTTTGATACCCAAGATAATTTTACTGACTAGACAATATAATCACCAAATTCAGTCAAAAACAAAGTAAAATGACACACGTGAACTGGGTGCATAGCTCAATGGTACAGTAGTTGCCTAACATGCATGAAGCCCTGGGTTTATCCCCCACCATGCAAAACAAAAACAAAAAATGGCAAGCCTCCCTACACAAGAGACAGTTACAGAGGGTTTACTTTGGACACCATATTTCTTCCTAACAGCAATGCCACCTCCCCACCTTGCTGGTTTCCGACAGAACAATGTATATAATTTTAATGTTCCTGGAATTTATTATAATGGCTTAACTTCATCTGCCCATGTCTCTTTGTTATTGGTATTTGACTATTTGAATGAAAGATGAAACGTTTTTCAAAGGCAGATCCTGATTTTCCAAGATGCTATCTTTGCAGTCAGAACCTATTAAAATTAATTGCAACACTGAAATGTTTAAATTATATTTTCATCTCATGGCTTGCTTTTATTTTTATATACTGAATTCTTGGTTCCATATATATTGATAACTTTCCTAGGTTAACTATAAACCTGTTTCCCTGTTATTCTCTTCAGTTGACATTCTCTGTTCTTGGGGCTGGTTTGTGCAGGATGAGGCCTTGGTTTTCAGCTGATCTCTAGGTTGATTCCCATTATACTTTTGTTCATCATACTCAGTTGAAGAAAGCTCTAGGCTAGGCACAGTGGCTCATGCTTATAGTCCCAACTACTTGGAAGGTAGGTATAGGAGAATAGCTGCTTGAGGCTACTCTGGGCAAAAAGTTAGCAAGATCTTATCTTAAAGAATAAACTGGGCATGATGGTACATCTCTGTAATCCCGGTTACATGGAAGGTAGGAGGATTGCAGTCAGAGGCTGACCCTGGACAAAAGTGTGAGACTCTGTCTGAAAAATAACTAAAGACAAAAAAGGTTGGGAGAGTGGTAGAGTACTTGCCAGGCAAGCACAAGGCCTGAAGTTCAAGCCCCCCTACCACTACTGCCAAAAATAAATAAAAAGAAAGCTGTTCAGATGCATCTTATAGTGGTCTTTATTCACTATAGTCAAATCATCCCGTGGTGAAACTATCACAATCAGTAATTCACTCCTCCCTTGAGAAGAGAATCTAGGGGTGGGTGTGTGAGTGATCACAGTGCTGTCTGATATACGCACAGAATATACACCAGAAGTTTCCTAGGACTGAAGCACACCTTCCTTCCCCAACTGCTGTGGGTAGTAACTGCTGATCACACCCAGCTTGAGTCTAGGACCCTCTGTTGCTGAGGAGCATCCATGGCTAAACCTTCAATTTTCCTTCATTGGGGCAGCACCTCTGTGTGGAGCTCCCAAGGGATTAGCCACAGCCTTTATGTAACACGGTTCTGCTTCTTCTGCCAGATCTTGCTTCCTTGGCTCTCCCATGGTGTGAATCCACAGAGCACTTCTTAATAAACTTCCTGTGTGCATATCTCCTCCAAGCGTTTCCTGGGAAACCTGCCCAGTGACAATATCCCTAAGCTCAGTGTCTGACATGCTGGGGAAGGTGGTGAACTTGCTAAGATTCTAGCCCTGTTGGCCTGTCTGACCACAGGGCTGCCTTGGGCAATGTCAGCGCGTCAGTTGGGGCTCTTACTGCCCTCTCTTGGTGAAGTCCTGTTATTCCTGGGAAAGTGGTTGTGATGCAATCCCACTAGCCCTGTTTCTGACGAACTTGATTTTCAAAGATCAGTGATTCTGAAATCCATAAAGTGATTTCCCTTTTTAAGGGAAACATAGAAAATCATGTTGCCTGGTATCTGATAGTATAATTCCTAAATTAGAGAAGCCAGCAGAAGGGCCAGCAGTGCAAAAAGGCAGCCTGGTTAGAGCTCTTAATGATCATGAAAATACAGAGTTTTGGTCTCAGTTCCTGTGGTATGCTAGATTATTCCAGTCATTTGGTTTTTCCTTCTCTCTGTTAATTTTTTTGATTTTTTTCTTCTCTTTGTAAAATTAATTAAAAAATACCTGCTAGTTAATCTAGCAAGTCACTAGAGGAAGAAGTAGTAAAGCTACTTAACAGTTTCTAGGTTTTATCTCTTTTTATTTTTTAAATACCTTCTGGAATATATTGCTGAACTTGGGAGAATTATTTCAAAATCAAGAAGGAAGGAGCGATTGTACATTTGAAACAGTCTATGATTCATATGTTTACCAGTCTCAGCAGTCCACGCCCATCACCATGGTCCCCTCCCTGTGACATGTCACTGTTTGTACCTGCGATCATGACAAGCCAGTGTGTGGGAAGTAAAAGACACTGGAGATTCTGAGGTGCTGGCAGCCTCAACCGCACTCAGAGACCCTCCTCAGTGCTCAACTCGTGGTCCCTGCCAATCACATGCATGTGTCTGGACTTGGGGTGACATGTCTCTGCCTGGGGATTCCAGGGCATGGAGGCAGCCAGCCCTGCAGCCAGCCACTCTGGCTACCTCAGCACAGAGGACTCAAAGCTGCTGCTGCCACCTTTCATAAGCTTTAGTGCTTATTGTTAAGATAGAAGACTTTTGACCTTTTCTACCTATTGCGATTGTCTTGGTGAAATGGGCCTGTACTGTATTACTGTTCATATTATGTCTATGGATACGTAAGACACAGGCCATTGTAGGAGAAGAAATGGCTTTTCTTTTTTTTTTTTTTGATAGAATTGGGGTTTCAACTCAGGATTTTGGCTTGGAAAGCAGGTGTTTTTCTGCCTGAGCCACAACTTCCAGCCCATTTTTTGGTTTGGTCATTTTGGAGATGGGGGTCTCGCAAACCATTTGCTGGGCTGGCCTCGAACCACAATCCTCTCTGTCTCAGCCCCCTAAGTAGGTAGTGTTACAGGTGTGAGCCATCGGCACCCGGCTAAGAAATGGCTTTTATTGAGAGCTTATTATGTATCAGGCACTGTGTTAAGCTCTAAGTGCATTATTTTATTGAACTGTCTCCGTTGTTCAGATGACAGAACTGAGGCAGAGGGATTAAAAGAGTGATTTGGTTAGAATTGGGATTTAAACCCTTGCAGTTTTACTTCAGAGCCTGCACCTTGGGCCATTTTAATGTACTTCAGCAGCGCTCAAACTTTTTAAATCATAGCCTGCGGTTATGTGTTTTATGTTGCATCCAGAGCCATATACATGCACTTCCCACAGCAGTGCTGACCCTTAACACAGGCAGTGTGCTCTGACTGTGGTAGTTCTCATATTAGTGCCCATATTGGTTCTCTGTCCTGATTTATGCTTCCCCTAACCTCCTCCTCCTATGCATCATAGCATTTTAAGTGAGAAATTCGCTAGTACTGCCTTCCAGTGTTTGTTCTTTCATTCACCTACTCACCAAGGGCCTCCTCTATTTCTGACACTGTGTAGCTCAGAGGTACAGTGATGAACATTGCAGACAAGGTCCCTGTTCCAATAGAGCTCACAGCCAGAAGGTTTTGCACATAAAATGCAATTGGAAAAAAAAACATTGTATACAAAGACCCCAAACTTTAAAAAACCAAGGAAGAAATCTACTGCGTACCATGCTTAAGACATCAAGCATCAGCTATTTAGTAATATTAATTAACGAACTAGAGCAAAGGGGTAAAGATGTTTATTGCAGTATTGTTCATAATAATAATTAGTATACTCACACAGTGGCATACTAATATGCAGCAACTAAAGTAACCTTAGTGTGATGTATATCAATCTAGATACACCTCAACACAGTTCAAAACAAGAAACAAGAGCGTAATAAACTTTGTATAATACAGGACAAAAACATATTACATATTAAATTCTGCAGCAAAATACAGTACTCTGAAAAGCCATAATATGTCATTTGTGTAAAATTTTAAAATATCCAGAACAAATATATAAAAGTGGAAAACCCTTCAAAGAATGCCCACACACCAATTTCAGGATAATTTGTATTACTCTGTGAAGAAGATGGAGTTTGAAGTGTTAATTAGTCTTATCAAGTTAGAAATATTTAGCAAATATGGCAAAATTTAACTATTGTGAAATCTTGTCTGAGTGTATGGTTATCTTGTTATTTTGGGTGATCTATGTTATTAAAATTGAACAGGTGAGATAACTGTGCTGTGATACTTCTCTGTCTCTGGCACATGCACATTTCTGTGTGCTGTGCCTTCTATCACATTTGTGTTTTATTCCTCCAAAGAAACATTAACCACAAGTGTCTTATTGCTGAACTGTGGGGATTTGCAGATCGGTCAGGCTTCAAGGGTGTTGTTTGTATTTTACCAGCAGAGGGTGCTGTTCTACGACAGCTGTTAGCAGGCGGCAGCCAACTTAAGTACATGCAACTTTCTTGTTAAAACGCACGCACACACACTGAAAAATCATAATCTAGTCATTTGGATCTATTATGTTTCTGTGAACATTTGTACTTTGGCTGTTTCTCAGGCTACGAATGCAAGAAACGGCACATGTCAGCATCCTCTGACATTGTGTCAGAGTAAGCCTTGCTGCTCATTTGTGGGGAACTTTTTGTTGTTTAACTGACCGGGGAATGTTCTTTTGTTCTAGATGGAAAAAGATTATTCTTACCTGAAGGAGATCTGTGACCACCAAGCAGAACAGCTGAGCAGAACCAGCCTAAAACTTCAAGAGAAAGCATCAGAGAGTGATGCAGAGATCAAAGACATGAAAGAAACCATATTCGAATTGGAAGATCAGGTGGAACAGCACAGGGCTGTAAAGTTACACAATAATCAACTCATTAGTGAACTAGAAAGTAAGTAAGGTCACACCCTCATGAAATGTGCAACAGGAAGAAGTAGGATGCTAAAGAAACAAGTAGCAGTGGGTGACATGGAAGAGTTTCTAAGCATGTGTGTTGGCTGGATATAAGAAGAGCCTTTCTTTTGAGTGCTCTATAATCTCCCAGGAAGAATGACACTTGAACCAAAAGCTGGATGACAGAAGAGAAGATTGTTGACTATGAGTTGGAGTGTAGGGTGACTGAAAAAGAGCATGTGCTTTTGGGGTGTGTTACGTGTGCTTTGTATGACAGAGCCATGTCACTGCCTCTGTCGTAGACAGCCAGATCCACTTCAGGTTCATCTGTGACTGTGTAAGAGTTTTTCTGAGGATGGTCCTCAGGGTTGAGAGGGTTATTCTGAGTAAATTGTTTACTATTGTCATTGAGTATTGACAATGCATTATCTTGGATCTAATGGATAGAGGGCAAGGTGATAAATGTTCACAGTAAAATCAACAGTGTGTACCCATGATCTAGGGAGGAAAACAGTTCTAGCGTGTGTCCTATTGATGGTAGGATATCAGATGACTTATACTTGTTGGCCACTTTGTTCTTTTTTTTTTTTTCATTTTTCTTTTATTATTCATATGTGCATACAAGGCTTGGTTCATTTCTCCCCCCTGCCCCCACCCACTCCCTTACCACC